ATTCTGTAACACCAGTATACATACTGTGTGAGGCAATCAGATAGTTCCACAGAAGTAGGCAGCTCCGGTTCCCAGTGTATCCAGCCGATAACAAGCGACATATTATATACGATGTGTACTTGCACACTTGTAACTTTCTAGATTACACTCCGACGTATGCTTTCTTTCTGTTATTGTTGTCGCTTGTTTCTTATCCTCACCAGGTCTTTCCCAACCTGCTGGCGTCCGTAGCGCCCGCGTTTGCGCGGAAAAACTGCACGTTTGATGTGGATAAATCCAAGGAGGCCACCGCACGTGTTGTAGGATGGCGAGAGCTGGGCATTGTGGCGTGCTACACTATGGAGAGTACGTATTGTGGTGCTGACCAGGGACAGTACAAGGTGAGAGAGAGAGAGAGAGAGAGAGAGAGAGAGAGAGAGAGAGAGAGAGAGAGAGAGAGAGAGAGAGAGAGAGAGAGAGAGAGAGAGAGAGAGAGAGAGAGAGAGAGAGAGAGAGAGAGAGAGAGGAGAGAGGGAGAGAGGGAGAGAGAGAGAGGGAGAGAGAGGGAGAGAGAGGGAGAGAGAGAGGGAGGGAGAGAGGGAGAGGGAGACAGACAGAGACAAAGACAGAGATGAACTAGAGTACAGTGCGGGGATGAACAGATAATATGAATATTGAACTCGGATGGTGAGCCAATTCCATTATGGATAAAAGGAGGAAATAGTGGTTGTGACTTCGGCAATACTTTGTTAGTAAAGGGTTTGTTCCCCACACTGGAACTCGCGTTATTCCGCCAACTTGAATTTACACTTGACTGACTCACGACAGCCAATCAGAGTACACAAGAAGTCCATCGAACCTTCGACTTGGCTTTGCGTCGTCGAGTTCTAGTGCGACCGGTATGTCCAAGAGTCTTAGTAGTTTCATCCTCACCCAGTAACTTTCGGCATTCTTTCTTTCTGTGGGACGTAGCTGGTGCTCTTCTTCGTTGCGCTTTCCTTCCCCTCTTGGACCTTTCCTGACGTGAGCCTTCCAGGTTGGAAGGTCGTTGGTTTGCGCCTCGGAGAAGTGTGGGAGCTAGGTGCCAGGTGGTTGAACGCCTCAGTACTCCTTGTCAGTCTTGTGCCATTTTCTTGCACTCGCTGGCTGTATAAGATCTGACTACCGTCCGGCTCGTCAGAAATACCATTTCCAACGATTTCCATGCACACTGTTTTAAGAAACTGTTACCCCAATGCCTTGCTTTTTCACGCTAGTACTTCTGACTTTCAGCTTTGCAAAATGCGAACATGATCACCTATCCAATAGTCTATTATATTAATTATTCATATATTTTTGCATCTTTCCCTCGAGTGGGTCTATTGTTATTAGGCTATTGTCTGTTATAGTCACCACTATAAATAAAAATCCAATCCAAATCCAATCCAATCCACTTTGAATGGCTTCTCGTCAAGTGGATACAGGCGGAAAAGAAACAAGCCAGTGTGATTACTATTGTACAGTGTAAAGGTGTACTATTATTCCGTTTCAGTGGCTGAGCTTATGTTCAGGCAAGGCATGATCATAATATTGGCTGTGTTCTTGTGTCTTATGTGCTCTGCAGGGCTTGCAGTTCTCGCCGTACCACCTGAAAGAGATGGGCGAAGCTTTCTGCCAGGCGTTGCTCTTGCTCGACCATCCCGGTGGCCGTGCGTCCGCATTGCGGGCCGATGACGTTCTGGCCAGTGCACGGCGTGTGCCTCCGGCGACGTTTGCCACTCCGGAGAGCGACGAAGAGGAACCGGAGCGGAAGGCAGCTGGAAGAAAGCTCAACAAGAAGGCTGGAGCGAAAGGCATCAGGTGAGATGAAAGTGCTACTTTGACTACCAGTAGTTTTTTGCACATGTACAGTGAAAAATCATTGATATAACTTATAAGTTAGGGGCCATCCGTAAATACCGATATTTATTTAGAAACGAAAACTAGTCGTTTCTCTTCAACCCCCCTCCCCCCTCCCTCAGAAACGAACATATACAAACGATGCATAGTATCGATATTTTTTTCTTTTCTTTTCTGGACGTGCCCACACATACAAACTGTGCATCGAAATTTTTCGAGAAACGAACAGGCACTAAACCCCCTCCCCCCTAAGCGACTAGTTTTCTTTTCTAAATAAATATCTAGATTTACGGATGGCCCCTTTATAAGTTAAGTTTCTCTGGACATTTTTTTACTGAATACCACAGTACCATCAGATGCTGCACAGCGGGGGCGGTGGCATATTGCATGGAAGTGGGGGCGGGGCAAAAGTAACTCCTCCGACCAAAGGTCTTGGAATCATCGTTACTCCTGTGCGCCGATACGTAGGAGAAAAGAAACATGTGCATCCAAGAGGGAAGCACCGGCTTTGCAAACGATAATGGGGAGAATTTGAGATTGGGACAGGACAAAACAATAGTAAAAGCAGTGCACCATAGGAAGATGAAGAGAACTGATAATCGGATTTTAAGGCTGACCGAAGGGGATCAAAGAGGGGTTGAAGGGAGCTGGAGTGCGGTCAGTATAATTAAGCTTTTGTGTTGGCTGCGATGGAGATATCATAGCCTGTCTGTGGCCCACTCCCACTTGCTGAGCCGCAAGTGGTCGTTGACATTTTTCTTGAACGTGTGCATACCTCTGCGGGAAGGGGGGGGGGACTGCAGAAGGGTAGGTAGGAGCTGATTCCACGTTGCGATGAGGGAGTGGGGAAATGAGCGGAGCGTGTTGTTTCGTGACTGAGGAGAAAGAATACTGGTGAGTTGTGATGGATGATGTGTTGCAGATCTGGTTGTCTCACGAGTAGACATGCGGCATTGCGGTGCGGCTGCTGATGGTGGCAGAATGGCTTTCACCATTTCCGGACCCTCCACAAAGTGCAGCTTGTACAGAAAGCAGAGCCCTGCTACGGTACGGCGAATGTCGAGGCTCGGGAGGTATGATCCATCTCCAATTATGTGCAGGGCACGATGCTGGATGGCAGTGAGGCGGGCCAAGGTGGTGGGGGCTGCGCTCATCCACACCAGCATGCCATACTCTAACACAGGGCGGACAAAGCCACGGTACACGATTGCCCGGTGCTTTGGGTCTAGCACAGCCGATGCCTTACGGAGGAAGGCGAGCCGCTGAGCTCCGCGTACTGCAAGCTGTCGGATATGGCTGCGGAATGCCAGCTGCCTGTCGAAGGTGACGCCAAGAAGCTTGAGCTCCTCTACTTCTGGCACGACTGCTCCTTGGAAGCGTATTGTGTTCGGGGGGGGGGGGGGGTTGGCGAGCGGTGGTGGCTGATGGTCAATGCCTGCGACTTTGTGGGCTCGAACTTGATCCTCCACCTGCTTCCCCATGCTGCCAGTGAGTCTACTGCCTGCTGGAGGATTGCTGTCTCTTCTGGCAGTCTGAGTCGGGTGGTGATGCACTTGTAGAGAGTTGTGTCGTCGGCGTATACAGCCAGCTTCGCCCCATCAGGCAGGTGGTCTTCTGCGTCGTTGACGTACAGAAGGAAGAGGGTGGGGCCGAGGATGCTGCCCTGCGGCACGCCAGATTGGATTCGGTGGGTCGGTGAAGACTGGCCGCCTAGTGTGGATGGACGGCATGCCAAGATATGATTTATAGAAAAGAAAAGGACCGAGAAACTACATCGAACTACATCCGAGTCCAAGATATGATTGTTTGGTAGCTCGGACATCAGGCCTGTGATCTACTGTGTGAATAAAAACGAACAAAGCTGTTGGTATTATTCGAGTGTCCGTTGACATTGTAACTATGTGGTTTGTTTCCACCGTGTTCTCAGCAGCAAAAACCGAGCAAAGCGTGGAGATGATGATGATGAGGAGGAGGAGGAAGACGAGGAAGAGCAGCAAGCGCAGGCATGTGCAGCTAGCAGCGATGTCGATGAGGCGAGCTATGAAGCGGACGATGTCGACGGCGAATTTGGCGCTGGTGACGATCTCGATGATTTCGATGATGCTCTTGATGAGGAAGATGATGACGATGCTTTGCAGGATGGTAGCGATGAAGAGGAGGTCTGAGTGTGAACTAAGCAAACGGTCGCGTTCAACATTGTACGGCAAAAGCTCCACTGATCAGAATTCAGTGCGGCAAGAGGAACTGACTAGTAAGCTATGGTAGAAATGTGTAGTGGCGATGTGGGGGTGATTGTACATTGAGAGATTGTCTGGACATTTTTGCATGGTAACGTTATTATATACTCACACCGATCAAGCAGTCTACAAGACACTCGCTGTCATTACAAATGTAGTTTTTCCGTTTGGTACAAGTACATGTAAATTATCCACCCAGTCTTTTTTTTTTACCGATGGAAACTCCATAACTGCATCGTCATGTTTATCTATTTGCCGCTGCTTGAAGCGTGTCTTATCTTTATTCCACAAATTGTCAAGTACAGCAGTGCCCTAACTTTAAGGTGCAAACCGATCAAACCTATTTCTATTTATCATGGATTTACCATGGTTTTATTGCTTGTTTCTCTTCTAATGCCAGTCTTGGTGTGATGAACATCGACCCTACCCGCCGGTTGTCTTATTTTGTCTTCAAGTGATTCCCCACTTTCTGAAGTGATTTCCCCACTTTCTGAAGTCATTTCTATTCAATTTATACTGTATATTCCCGACTTGCCCAGATGGCACTGGCGGAAGTTTTGACGGCCATATCATGGTTTTTTTTTGGTGTTGTAATATCATGAATACAGGAATGCTGTGCTTGCAGTAGCGTCTCTGGCAGGTATCTATTATCAAAGTAGCAGGCTGTCGGTGTAGTAGTGTGCTGGTCTACAATGTAGTTGTAGTTCTTATGTTCTGTGACCTGATCTCCACGTTCTCCAGCTGCCCACAAACTAACTCAGTGTTGTGTCTTGCTTCTACAGTCTACAGTAACACTGCAGTGCGGGTGGGGGAGCCTGGGGCTGCCTAGGTTAGGGGTTCCTGTCCAGTTTTCAGGCTTTTTTCCATGATACAGTCGTGAGATAGAGGAGAGTATTATTAATAATAATTACTTACACACTATACTACGCAGGTAGTGGCCTCACCAATACAGTACGGATCGGCTCATAGCGTTGGTGTTTGGTTTTCGTGAAAATATCACTATAGCCGATAATAATATTGGCGATGTTATTACTATAGGCGATTTGCATACTTAGGTATGCCTGACAAATGCGTGTATGGTGTCATTCGAATCAGTGCAACGTGCAGAAGCGTGCTGTGCATGTGACTGTGCAATATGTGCAGTACAGAGCTACTTCCTGCGGAAAGTTTTGTTTTTTCACGGCTGAGCGTAGCGAAAGAGTGCAAAAAACGTATTTTTCACTCACAAATATTTTCGTGCATTTGCTCTTGTTCTGCGCAACTCCGTTGAACCTGCCATCGTGGTCTTTGTTTTTCCTCGTGGTAGTTGATGTTGCCCGCCCACCCACCCTGGTTTCATGGGAGTCGTCCGCTGTTCTTCTTGACAATCTGTGCCTATGTGTGTGGCTTATGATTATGACATACACCGGTATTACATACCATTTCTTGCTATCTCTATTCTTGGGTCTGACTGGCAGCGGGGCAGGAATTAATGAAGTAGAAAGGTTTTTTGGCCGAAAGGCGTGTTTTTCCTCTAGCCCGGTTGAGCGGTCGCGGCTAGGAATGTAGGGAGTCATTGTTTTTCAGGCGCTCCCCTGCTGCCCAGTCACCCATGCTCACCACTGGCCATGCTGTTTCACTTGATTTCACGGCCTTTTCTCCCGCTTGCTGGCGGTTCTTTGATGGATTTAGATGTTTTTCGGCTATTTATCTATTATGTGGCTGCGAGTGTGGTTTTTTGCTTCTACTCATTTCTGGAAAACCACCACGGTGGTGAGTGTGATTGCTCTGGTAGACCACTACCCCATGTACTGAATAGTCGCTTTGTGAGTGAAAACAAAAACTTCGTGACTTTTTGACATGAGTTTTCAAGGAGTTGCATGCTGTGCTCAACAAAATGATTATGTATTCTTTTGGAAGAGAAACACTTCAACACATTCAATCGACATAATTATCAACAATATCTATCTGAGGGATATCATAGTCGTACCAGCGCTTCCTGGCTGCCGCGATCAGATCTCGCCATGTACGATGTATAGTTTTTTATGATTGTCACTATAGCCGATGAAAAATGTATGCAATAAGATCATTTTGACAAAGAAATCGTATCATTATAGCCGATATAATTATTACTATAACCGATTATTATAGCCGATCCAATCCTATGTATAGAAAGGGGTGGTTTACGAAAATGAATAATTATTATTATTTGAGAATTATGATCAGTATAAGAGGTATATTACTATAGCCGACAACCCTATAGCCGATCCGCACTGTACAAGCGCGCAATCATCGTTCAGACTGAGTGAGACTCAGAGTTGACTGTGTTCTGGACCAGGGGTAGTGTCACTGTGTGTGTGGGGGGGGGGGGGGGATAGTGTGTGTGTGGGGGGGGGGGGGGGGTGGTAGTGTGTGTGTGTATGGGTGGGGGGGGGGGGTAGTGTGTGTGTGGGGGGAGGGGATAGTGTGTGTGGGGGGGGGGGGGTAGTGTGTGTGTGTGCAGGGCGGGGGGGGGGGGTGATAGTACAGTAAAACGGTGGCCTGAATGATGTAATTGTTCTTCTTATTTTTCTTTTATACTCTTTTCTATATTTCTCCAACTTCTGTCCAGTATATAGACAACCAAGAACGAGCGAAGAATACACGACTTACAGTACAACAAAAAATATAAAAAAACAAAAACAAGAAGACTCAAACAACTTCCTAGTACAATGACGGTCAGAACCAGGGCTAACACCCAAACGGTTCAAATAGTCACAAGACCAGGGCTCTGCCAACCGTGGATAGTCGTAGTAAGGGCTCTGTCTCCGAACATGGTGTCCTCCGCCTTGTAACATGCTCTCAACCATGCAACAACATGTTTTCAACAAAACACCGTTATCTACTATACAGGTGGAATCCTGATAATTATTTCGAATATAACGCTTAATTAGACATTTTTCCAGGACAGATTTCTATCGATACGATACCCACATAACAATATCTGATAATTCGAACCTCGAAATGCACATGTCCAGTTGATTAGAAGTCCCACAGAATCCACCCACATAGAAAATGTGTGGGATTTGTGCTGATAATTCGAAGTTAGCAAAGTGTAAGTCGAGATTCACTGTACTGGTCAGTTCGGTTTGCATGAGCAGGCTGCGGGCTGTGCCGGTCAGTTCAGTGTCTGTGAAATCTGTGTCTAAGGTCCATAGCGCAACTCTGCATGACCATGAGAGCATTTTGACAAACATAATTATATTATTGTGTTGTGGGTTCATGTTTGGATAATTAGAACGTCCGGATAACAAGAAGTTTTTTCCTGGCGTTTTGAGGTTCAGGGATTCCACCCGTACTACTTACTACAAACTATACTACGTAAAATCAAGAGGGGTAAGTAGCAGCCTTCGGCCTTGTCCAGATTCTTATCAACCACCACACCACACCGCTGCGCTCTCCGGCCGACCTCAACACGTTGCCACAGCACACCATCAGCAAAACGACATTTCAGTTGGTACTCTGCTCCTTCAGGCAGCAGCTGTTTCGATCATCAGGATCTCGTCAGTGAAGGTTAATTATGAAGAATGGCTAACAGATAGTGAACTTCACCCGTTTGTAGCAAAAAAGGGGGAACATAATGGCGCATCTTAGGCGCAAAAAGGAGGGAAACATAATGGCGCATCTTAGGGTGCGAAGATTAAGCTAGCTCCTACGTAAAGTAAAAAGAATTCAAATCAGACTAACTATTACTTGTCACCTTTACCATGCTTACTGCAAAGTCATGCACTTGGTATGAACAGTGAGAAGTGGCAGGCAGGTCAGATCACAGCAGTACATGTAATATCAGCTGTACATGATTGCCACAGCACATGCGTCCTGTCACCTTGCCTTCCAACAGAATGACACAAAATCCAGTCAATAGTACACTGATGAAAACTGGTGTGAAAATATCCACCCAGCGGATAGATTATTTATTTATTTATTTATTTCTGCACCTCGTGGCATGTCAAGACAGCCAATTGAATTGAGGAGAGGGTGAGACCAACCACGGAAGAAGAGAAAAAAAGAAAATGAAGAGCACGTACACAAAGTGGGAAGGGATTAGCAACTTACAAAGCAATGGGATGCTCAGCGAGCTATGTAGCGGAAGTGGGGACTGTGACTTTGTTCACTGGGAGATACTGAAGTGCTGTCTGACGAGGGTACGGAATTTGGGCATATCTGGAGCTTGTCTAACACTGGGAGGCAGTTGGAGCCACGTGGAGTAGTAGGAAAAGAAAGGGGAATTTACGAATAGGGTAGACCTAGCAAGGGAGAGACGAACGCAGCTTCGGGTGGTGCCACCTGAATTGAACCAATTCAGGGTGCTGGTCAAGAAAAAGATAATTATATGCATAAACCGGGGTGTGGGTAGTGTGTGTGTGTGTGTGTGGGGGGGGGGGGGTAATGTGTGTGTGTGTGTGTGTGGGTGGGGGGTGTATTACGCTATACATGTACGTGTGTGTGTGTATGGGGGGGGGGGGTGATTATTATTATTCTTTATTTCCACGATGGCCCATGGCCAATAAGGAAGATAATATGATTCAAATCAGTCCAGAATCATATAAAATCAGTCTAGCAAGTAAGGAAATCAACACATTGCAGGGGGATGGGGTCACGATGGGGTACAGTGTGAGCTACTACAGGAGCATATGGATGATAGAATGAGGCTAGACGCCATTGATTTAAACGCATGCTTGCTATTTGTTTCACGCAGGTCGGGGGGTAGTTGGTTGAAATTGTGAAGGGATAGGTTGATGGGTGAGTTGGTGTGTCGGTATGTGTGTGATGTTCTCAATGTGTATGTTCTCATGTGTCGTAGTGCATATGGCTGCTCTGTGATTGGTCGTGCAAGGTGAGGCTGTTGCAGGTGAAGGGGAGCGCGGATGTACTTGATGTTGTGGGCAAGAGTAACCTGTCGTAAGAGTTGCCGGGAGACTAATGTGGGGAGTTGGAGATGATGAAGAAGTGAGCTGTGATGGACTGGTGCAAAAAGGGGGATCCGCAGGCAGATACGGGCTGCTCGTCGCTGAACGCGTTCTAATTGGTCCTTCTGTGTGCGGGTGGTGTTGGATAACACGAGACTGCCGTACTCCATAACCGGGCGAATGTAGGCGGTGTAGATTACGAGCAGACTGGGGGTGTTAAGTTGGCCTCGTGTTTTACGAAGTTGGTGAAGGAGTTTTTTGGATTTGTTTATTATGTGCGTGACATGTGAGTTCCATTGGAGGTTGTTTTGTAGTATGATTCCAAGGTGACGGTGTTCTTTGACTTGCTTTAGGGGTGTGCCATTAAGAGTGATGTTGAGTTGGTGGTTTGGTGTGAACGACAAGGTAACGGTCTTTGAGGCATTGACGAGGAGGTGCCATCTGCGCAGCCAGGTTGCGGCAGCTGAAACGGCTGACTGCAGGGACAACTCCGATGTCAAACGGCTCTGGTGTGTTGCGATGAGCGCCGTGTCATCTGCAAATTGGCTGCACTTTGTGTTCGAGTTGGTGCAGGCAGAGGGCAGGTCAATGGTGTAGATCAAGAACAGCAGGGGGCCTAGAACGGATCCTTGGGGCACCCCTGCTGGTATGGCTTGCCACTCACTGAAGGCGTCGCCGACACGAACACGTTGACGGCGATGGGTGAGGTAGCTGACCATCCATTGCAGGGCGGTATCTTTCAGGCCGAGGTGTTGCAGTTTCTTGAGGAGACCGGCGTGCCAGACTCTGTCGAAAGCCTTCGAGAGGTCAAAAAAGCAAGCTGTGACGGAAAGACCTTTATCTCGGCTCTCGG